TCTAACCGGTGAGCACTTGAGTCTCAGCTGACGTACTAGCTCAGTTACTAATCTGTTTTTTTTTTTTTTTTATTGCCTTAGCCGTGCAGCTGCAACAATCCTGGGCTTGGGGCAACAATGTAACGGTACTTGCTGCTGGCTCTAGTTATCCGCTCTCTGGTGCTACAGGCTCTGGCATTTATGCGGGTAGCAGTGGCAGCTTGACAGCAACAATGGTCGCCAATGTGGGTGTGCGCCAACTTCTGGTAGCAAGAGTGCCCAAAAACGAGCATACAGGTAGTCGCCTTGAAGCTGTGAATACGAGGCAATTCGCTGCGGCATCAACAGCGCCCCTAACCGGCTTAAGAATGCTGCGTGATCCACAACTGGACAATTTCAATTCACAGCTGCTTAACTTAACCGCCTCGTCTGTGATCGCATTGCAGCAATGCGCCGAAGATCTCTGCTGTACGCTGACAGCAGAGACTACAGCGAGTCAAAGCTCTTATGGCAATGGCAGCGCGGCTGGTGCTTATCAATACCGCTTTGGCGTCTTCACTGGTCAACGCTCTTACGAGAAGGAGCAATACAGCACTGTAGCCATTTGTGGAATGTACGCCTGTACCGATGACACCGTTGCCAGTTGCGGTCTTTTATTCCCTGCAAATACAACAATACAGCCAGCGTTCGCTTTCAAGCGCCTAAATATTGCGGGTAGCTTTAAGAAGGCCGAACGCTTACTGTTAATGCCGAACACTTTGAACTTGAACTTTTACTCGCTACAACCAGCGCAGGTAGCGTGGGAGGTTACTGATAAATGGTGAGTTCTCCGCTGTCGAATTTAAGTGTCATGCTTTTTACATTTGTACTTTTGTTTTGAATTTTCAGCAAATCCTACGAGACTTCAATTGATTTAAAAGCTTCCGCAGACAATCTGTTAACTTTTGGCATCTATGCAAACTACTATGACAGCTCAGCGGCAACGGGATTGGCTGGCTCCATGTTGGTCATGTTATCATGCCTACTGCTTTGGACTGGCACCTTTGCAATTGATTTTTTGCATATAAGATTCACTGACTGCTGATTTTTCGTAGAATTAATTTAGCGGAATTAATGTATGTCGGCGCATTTAATTGCAAATAAATTTCTGATATGGTTTAGAGTAAACATGTGTGTGCATGTGAACTTTTCGAAAACCAAATGATGTGAATTAAAAAAAAAATTAAATTAAATTAATTAAAATTAAAATAAGCTCAAAAATTTTGAAAATATCGAAATTTTTCTTAAAAAAAAATTGCCAATTCGTTAGGCGATTCAGTTACATACATGCGTAGGTCAATTTGGAAAATAAACATTTAATTTCATTTCATTTTGTCCATTTTTTCGGAACCAGTACACGACTTAACCACTTCGGTAATAGATCATGACCATTTCAGGATTATTTCGTGACTAGTTTGTCCTAAAGTGGTTCTGAAAAAGTCGTTACCGAGAAGATGTCGAAAAGTCTTGAAACGGTCCCGAAATAGTCCCTTATTTTTCCCAAAATGATCTTGACCTGGTCCCAAAATGTTGCTAAAACAGTCATCAAGTAGTTCCGAAATGTTCCTGAACTATTCTCGAGATGGTTAAGAACGAGTCCCAAAATGGTCCTCAACTAGTTCCTAAATGATCCCGCACAAGTCCCGAAATGGTTCTAAAATAGCCCTAAACAGGTCTCGAGACGGTCCTGAGCTAGTCCTGAAATTTTCATTTGTAAACACAAGAAGCAATTACAGGTTTTCTGCTGGGTTAACGCAAATAGTACCCATACCGAGAGCTAAGATGTTTACACTTCAAAACTGTTAATGAAACTGCTTACTACTTAATGGGGCATGGTCGTTTTCCTGGATATACTGTTACCGTTGTCGCATACCCGTTCGCGCACTATGTGCAACGTGGGCAACCCGTGTGCGAGATGCGGTAACGTAACCAACTCTCTTCAGTGAAGACCCTCCGACGCATTCGGTTAAAGGGACAACCGAAGAGAGCAGCGTTTGTTCACTAGTACTAGATGGGGCTACATGTGGGCTCGCTATGGACTGGTTACTGGTGGACTACGAGCGCTGCCCCCATTACGTTAAAAAAAAAACTTTCTAGGCGGAATTTTTGGTCCAACAGTCGGAAAATTCAGCCTCTACGATCAACTTCCGATAACAGAATGGGGCTGATTGACTTCGTCGGGGCCGAAACATGGTAGTCTGCAGCATCAGTCTCGAGTCTGACCTGCCTTTTGGTAGTGTTAACGAAAATCATGTAGATAATGATGACCCATTTGCCCCAATCGATGACGACGGAAGCGATATTCGGTTACATAATAATGACTGCGCAGCTAAAAGAAACTGCCAAAGCCGATGGCTGGTGAAAGCCATGCAACAACTTTAATGCATATCACAATGAAAGTGTGTTCAGCCAATCCACTTGAAAACGCGATCTTTCTGCATCCGGATACTACCGTGGATTTTAAATATCGAGCGTTTTGTTTTAAAGCACACAGTCAACGAACTGATTTTATAGGGTGATTCATGGGCGATACAGATCTTTGACAGCAATTATTTGTGATATGTTAATGTTTTTTTTCTTCAGACAATTGGTACTAAAGGCTTTGGCTTTGTATGGACTGCGGATCCCACGATAAGTATAGCAAAGCATATTTGGCCTGAGTTAGATAAACGCAGACCACGCCATCTCCTCCGCTCGGAGCGTCCACTGCTCCGACATGTGATTGGAATTCTCAGCGGTCACTGCCTGATAGGAACCCATGCCTATAGAATGGTTTTGCAGCAAAACTACTGTCGTAGCTGCCGTGATGTGGAGGAAATCGAAAGCGTAGAAAATTTCCTATGCCAATGTGCAGCATTGTCGAGAGCTCGTCGACGCTCGCTCCACTACTATTTTTAATGTTTGGCTGAACTGCATTCAGATAGTATCAAAGAACGTAGATAACAAGAAGGGACAACTCGTTATAATTGTGGCGAAAGCGCGCAACAGGCTCGTGCCTTCTCTTTTCATCCAATCAAAAAACTAGGGCAAAAGAGAATGCACGCCCCTGTTGCGCGCTTTCGCTACAATTATAACGAGTTGTCCCTCCTTGTAATCTACGTTCTTTGATAGTATCTATGGCTTTGTACGACTTATGAGAGCGACAAAGTCGTTTCACTTCTATGGTAAACGGAGGGACCTAATGAGTGTCTAATATGGCATTACAATGGGCGCATGATGGGCTCAGTTACAGTGCTGAATGAGGACGGCCAAGATAAGCTAACCTAACCTATGAGTCAACGATCAGCAATTTAGTGCAGAAGTTCGAATAAATTGGGTCGGTGTAAAACGTGCGTCTTCGTACAGGACATGTTACGGTGAACGTTAACCAACTTTTTGTAACCTCGATTAGATGACATTGACTTCGACAATAATGGTTTCACTCGCCATACAGTGCATGAAACAATGGCCCAATTGCGTACGAGGTGGCCAGGACGCATTATCGCACGAACTAAAGAGGTAAGGTAGCCGCCAAGATCTGGAGAGTTGACACAATAGGGCTTCATTCTCTTGAGTTACGTGAAAAGTATGGTCCATGCCAATAAACTCGAAATGTTTTCAGAGCTGAATAACGAAATCTACGCGTGATAAATGATATACAGCTCGAACTGTAACAAAAAGGCATGGAAATTTTTGATATGCGCATCCGTGTTAACAGAAGAGTAGCGTGTGGAATTCAACGCCATAGAAAAAATTATTTCGACCAATTGTGTTTTTTTCATCCTGTATATTCGCTAAGAAGAATCAGGCAGAGAAAGCAGTTCCATGGTAGAACGTTGAACATATAAAGCTTCGTAAAAGTTCCAGTAAAGTTCTGAATAGGGCGTTTAAGCCCGAAACGGATAGGACTGGTCCGAATATCATACGTGCAGTAATATTGGTAACATGAAAGAGTTTTTCAGGTTATGTGAGGTACATATTGCAAAAAGACCTTACAGACAGGCTTATCTATCTCAGAAAATCTAATAGAACTTATCACATTGAACGTGGCACCCGCTGGCGGAAGCAGAGGGAGAAGAAGACCTCCTCTGCAATGGGAAGTCCAGGTAGGGAAGTACTCGACTTCACTTGGCTGGCACTGTAAAGAAACAACTTGCGTGCTTTATTGAATTCAGACGAAATCGTTTAGGCGGCTACCGGGTCTATTATGATGAAGAAGAAAGTTACCGCCAGAAAAGTATGAATTTGGGCAAATAAGTGCTTTTCGTAAAGAAGTGCTTAAATTTTTTGTAAAAACATTCAAAAAGGGGTATTTTGGTATGAGGAATTCATTTCTGCATTTATCGTTTTCTTAAAACTGCCACCAGAGGGCGCTACAGAGAAAGTTTTCACATTTTCTTCGACACTTGTTTTCGCTATTTCCAAATTGATTTTAGACCCATGGCTTCTTCGGCAAATTTGCTTAGAATTACACGCACATAGAATCGTCCTATGATAAATGCGCATAGTCAAAAAAAAAATTGACCCGCCCTAACGTACATACTATTTTTATCTAATCCACTACAAAAATTGTTTTTACATGCATTCCAAGTAAACCCATTTCATCCAAAAATAATTAAATGGCACTCTGTACACGACAACACTTGTAGAGCATTCACGAAGTACAAAACTTTTCTTCGGGATACGCATCATTGCGCCTAATTGCCGATCATCGGACTTGAAGTTGGTTCACTTACAAGGTTTTTCTTGTTATTGTAACTTTATTTTATTTTTTCCGTTGCAATTACATGTCAAGGTTATTGCCACTGTTGCCTAAGAGTTTTGGAGATTTCGAAATTAACATCGAAACAATGTGTAGGTCAAAGTTAACGTTCAACAAATCAAATACGCATGACTAAATTCGAACGCAAAGCTATGAAAAGAAGATAACCATTTAATCGCATAGTATAAATATAAGTCAACTAAATTTTTTCAAAAATGTTTAGTGCAAATCGGTGTGTAAACACGTATACGTTAAATGCGCTGGCGTTACAAACTAACAACTAAAAAATTAACGTTTTGCTTAATAAAAAGTGTTCATTAAAAAAATGGCATTCTTCAAATACGAATATTTCAAACTCAACTCCACAAATTTTCCGTACGCGCATCTAGCGGACAAGCGCACGCAACATTGGCTGCTGGTCGAGTCTTACGGCGATGTAGTGGCGCTTGTGACATTGTATCTGTTGCTGGTGCGCTATCTGCCAAAATGGATGCAAAGGTATTGCATTTAAACTCGATGCAAAATACTTATGTAAAATGCGTGTGAATACTAAAACAGTCGCACTTATATAACTCTTACAGACGTAAACCCTTCCAAATGAAACCTTTGATGTTGCTCTATAATTTTTTGATGGCTTTACTGAATGCGCACATCTGCAAGGAGCTTCTATTCAATGGCATACGCTCGAAGTATAATTTCTGGTGTCAGCCAAGTCGTGAGCTGTACACGAAAGAAGAATTGAGGGTAAATATGTACTTAGTTACTTTTGTTGGTTGTGATCTACTCAGTTGCTTGATTCGGTCGCTTTGCTTTAAACAGATTGCTGCTGCTGTTTGGTGGTTTTACTTCTCCAAATTGCTGGAATTTGCCGATACGATTTTCTTCATTTTACGTAAAAAGCGGGAGCAGTTAACCTTTCTACACGTCTATCATCATGGCACTATGTTTCCATTGTGGTGGATCGCTATAAAGTGGGTGCCCACCGGATCGAGTAAGTATTACATGTCGGATGGCCCCGCGCTACTTCATCTCAACTGGATGATACCGGTGAATCTATTCTATTTTGAACGGCGTGCGAAAGACTACCTTAACTCGATGACCTTTCCTGAGTTTGTGCTAACTAAGCACTGTCAGACAAACTATCCTATTTAATACGGTCCTATTTATTGTAGGCGCGTCTGAGTTAGGATAATTTACCTGACAAAACTGAGCTGGGATAGTTTGTCTGACATCGCCTTCGAAAAGCATAGATTGACGGCTATCGACCAGTTGAGTTGAAGTAGCCCGTGGCCATCCATGTATGTTTAAGTTGAAACATTAATCAGGTTCAGTTTAGTGATCTACTGATAAATTCCCAAACTTGTCGAATGAAAGCGAATACTCTCGATGGTTAGTTAAGATGTTCGGTGTAACAGACCAGATGACACTACGACACATTAGTTCTTTTGTGTCTTTATAACTTTAAGAGCCCAAAATACTGTCAACTTCTCGAATGGAAACTCTCTGTCGTAGCAGACGATTTCCTCTTACTTAAGGGATCGACTGTAGATGACTTAAAAAAGCAGAAGTCTCTTTCAGGCTAACACTAAATATTACCCGCAGATGCGTTCCGTCTAGGTAAGGGCGCGGGATATCGGGGTCCACGGCACCCAGGGTGCTACTTTTAAAACGGCCGGGATGGAAGGTCTTTAAAAATTTTTCCGGGCGGGAAGAAAATTCTTTTCCGACACTTCCGAAAAAACTCTCAACTTCCAAAAATTCGAAAAAGACGTAAGACCACTCTAGAATTTTAGACAAATTTAATATTTTGGCTTAAGTATCATAAAAATAATATTCAGTGGGTTCTATTTACAGCAAAAAAAAATATATGTTTTATCGACTTTCCTGCTGATCGTCGGATCGCCCGCAGATCTTTCAGTATGACAAAAGTAAAATATTCAGTTACTTTATTAAGTGATAGGTATCGGGCACCAAGGGGCGGTATAAATGTGAAAAACGTCGAGATGGTCGGGTTCGGGATCTAAAAATTTAATGTTGGGGTAGGCGGGATCGAGTTTGAATAATTGGTCCCGCGCCCATTGCTAGGTCCGACTTCTCGCCGTCCTCAAGTCGGTCGGTTATGACCGATTAAATACCCAGCGAGCAACCTGCGAGTGTTCTGTTAAAAAGGTAGATAGTAGAGAAAAATCCTTCCCATCCAGAGTAATGTTGTCTGAGGTACGTTTTCCGCAGTACTAAAGCCATAAACGCTCGCAACCCCTCCAGAACTTTACGTATTTCCACGTGTTGTCAGTTCTGAGAGATCCGTGCCTTGATTTTGTGTCAGAGACAAAATAATCTCATCTTCAAGCGCTGACACATTTCGTGTATTTAAGTTCGTCGGTCAATTCCTTGCCATGATTTTCGCTAGCTAGCTTAGCTAGCCAACTACATTGTTTTATTAAACTCGAAATAATAATTATTTTAATCATGCCTAAAGCGTCGCCTTACTATTACCTACTGACCGTTTCTTAATTATTCATTGCAGCAATCATACCATCCGTAACGAATTCATTCATACATGTGATTATGTACAGCTACTATGGACTAAGCGCATTGGGGCCTAGCGTTCAAAAATTTCTCTGGTGGAAGAAATACCTTACTGCATTGCAATTGGTAAGTGAAAAAAAATAACAAATCTACAATAGGGCCAATCCTTTCAAATGGGCCAATGGTTGGAATCGACCATTTTTGATTTGGATGAATTTTGATCAGAACTTTTCTTTTATCAGATAACGAAAAAAATATTTTAAAAATTTCGAAAGTTCAAAATATTACAATTTCCGGGATTTCTCAACCTTAACTTTTGAATATTTTAAAAACTGCAAAAATGGCTCTGCCTTCGTTTTATAGGTGACTATATGTATATAAAATGTATTTAAAAAGAAATCGAGAAATAAAAAAATAAAGAATCTTTAAATAAAAAAAATCGTCAAAGTTAAAAGTTATATAAATTTTTGGCTACTTTAAAAGATTCGGAAATTTTCAGGGTGTTTCTTAAGATTACATTTTTTAGCTTTGAAAAAAAAATGTTTGCAAACTATAAATTAAAAATTAATTTAAATAAAAATTCCTTAGCATAACTTTATTAATGGTCTGCTGCATATTTCAAAAACACACCTTCTTTAAAATTGCATGATCTTTTAAGATCAGTTGGTATTGTATAAAAAATTTAGCTTTTACTATTTTTTTTTTTGATTTCAAAACTCTAATTTTTTTATTTTTCGAATATTTTTTCTTTGTAGTCCCAACCTTTTTGGCATATTCAAAAAATAAATTTGCAAAATCCAGCAAATTGTGAAATTAAGAATTTTGCATAACGTAAAAAAAAATGAATTTTTTCCTTTGGCAGATATGAGATAAAAGAAAAGTTCGAATCAAAGTTAAGTTAAGTTTCGTTAAGTTAAGTTAAGTTAAGTTAAGTTAAGTTTTTAATTATGCACCTACTATAACTTTCTCTGTGTTAAAATTTCTTCAGTATTTTTTGAAATTCTTAATTCAAACTAACGTTTTCAATTAATTTCAGATACAATTTGTGTTCGGTGCCTGTTGGTCTGCTCAAGCTATTATAAGAGGCTGCGATTTTCCCACTTGGATCAATGTTACGACCATCGTTTATATGGCATCTTTGCTATTCCTCTTTGGACAATTTTATGTGAAAACATATCAAACAAACAAAATTAAAGATAAATAATTAAATTTCTAAGTCACCGCTTGTTCTCAATTACTTTACTTTCATCACCATTTATTTCATTGTTAACACACATACATACATACATGGAAGAAAATCCTCTACAACGTCAAGTTCGTGCGTACATATGTGTTTTGTTGCCAGAAAATCGTTCCAGCAAAATATACGTTGGCCAGGAGTAAAAAGCTTCTTCAGCACTACCTATAAAGCTTCAAGTGACACCATTGGAGGCGTTGAAAAGTAAATGGTGATGACGTTGGCGCAAATGAAATTGCCGCAATGATTGCAGCTTAACAAAAATCTAATTAGCTGCGTTTTGATCTTCGTACGGCACAAGCGAACGTACTAACACAGATATATCTGTACATATGTACGTATCTACATTAGGGTGCTTCACCAAAAAAACGCCGTTTTTTACCGGTATTTATTAAATTTATTATGGGTAGTATTATCACTTGCGAAGCGAATGATTTTGGCGAAGCGAACGGTTTGGCGAAGCGAATCAGAAGGCAGAGAAGGTATTAAAAGTGTGCGCGATGCAAAGAACTTGCACAAGCTGGTAAAAGCGAACACTTTGAATGCATATTTAAGTTGCGTCCGCCAATCCATTCGCTTCGCCAAACCGTTCTCTTCGCCAAATTCATTCGCTTCGCAAGTGACAATACCGCCCTATTTTTAAGACTTCCGCCAAAATATTTCGGAAAAATATTAATTTTTTAACTGAACTGGACCGATCTAAAAATACTTACAAAAATCACATTATTTTAATTCCGTTGACAAAATTTCTAAACATGTTTATGTAGGCATTCTAAGCTTAAACTCTTCTCTCATCTAAGTTAATTTTTTGGAAAAAATATTTTTTAAAACTATTTTTTTCTATAAAAAAAAACTCATTTTATGGAGGTATTTTTAAATCGGTTCAGTTCACGTAAATCTAAATATTTTTCTGAAGCATTTTGGCGCAAGTCTCAAAATATGTATGATGGAAAAACTGCAGCGATTTTTTTTTGGGCATGGAGAGTGATACACCCTAATGTTCATATGACATATATCGATGTTCGCGTGCGTCCGCAGTTTACGTTAACTAACGATATAAATACATAATTCTATATTTTTGTCTTCAGTAGAGCTCTCTTTGCGGCAAACACATTAGCAGCCAAAGTGAGGATTTATAAGAAAATCAAATCAGCAAGAAATTGTGCGCCAAAATCGACGAAAATATTTAAAGTGCTGTTGTATGGGTAACATCCGGAAGTGAGGCGGAAAGAAGTTGTCTCGCCACAAACAGCTACACTCACACATGAGGACGATCTTTTAATTTTCTGAAGAAACATTTTATTTTAATAATTCTGCATAGATATGTATTTATATACATACAGGCTCGACGAGGGGAGGGGTCTGGGGTATTTACCTCCGGGCTCGGATTTTTCAGAGGCCCAAATTTTTCGAAAATTAAATTCAAAGAAAAAAATAGTTTGCTAAGTTGATAAATTTGATTAAAACAATTAATTCAAAAATTAATTAAAAAATTTGTTGGAGGGTTGAGGAGCCCGGGCAGATATTTATTACCGGACCCGGAGTTTCTCTTGGCGCCCCTGCATACATACGAAAAATATTGGGGCTGCAGTCCTCGTATCCTAGTATTAAGCGATGGCAAAGTCAAGTGTGAGCCCATAATGCCCATGAAATAAAGTCTACATTGATTTTCGAGTGCGTAGAGAGACTAAACGCCTTAGCAGGCTACCTTTCAATGCGACAGCAACAACACCAATAACTTTGTAGGGGAGAAAGTAAAAGTTTCGTGCGGCAAAGAAGCAAGAAATATCGGAGGTCGTCTGGACATAAGATAACTGGAACTCTCTCGCTCTCTCCGCCGAATGCAAAGTTTTATGGGAAAATCACGTTGAGTACGCCGTAACAAAAGTCACACGGACTTTAATGGTGTGCAGAAGACTGGTCGCCTAATCATGGCAGTCTAGTCCCTATATCTTGCGGTAGATGTAGCCATAGTCAAGCCAATAGCGAGTGGCGTGCACCTGCATAACGGGAGCCATGCGCACTTGTACCACATACAACAGACTACCTAGAAAGCCCTCCTCAACTTTATCAGGGATTGCACTGGTAAAGGAACGGTAATTTCGAGCAGAATGGGAGAGAAAAGCAGATCAAAGATCCCCATCTCCCACCTCAATAGAGATGACATGGTTACGATGACAACCTTTGAGCCAAAATTCAGAACCGAACTAGGCAACAAAGATGGAAGAGATATGTAGAAGCCACTTGGCCAATAGGACCAGAACATTTCCTTGCATTGGGGCCTCACACCATCAGGGAAGAGTAAAGAGCAGAAAAGCGTCTGCTAAGAAGAGCATATTGGTGGAATACGCCTAGACTAAGGCAGGCGAAAGAACTTTTTGGAAGCTGTAACACCAGAAGATCTAGGGAGCTAATCACCCCTCAGAAGACTAACCAGAGATTTATAACAGGGAGGCTAACAGATCAGTACAGACTGCGAGCCCATGTGCATACCCTGGGGGGGTTAATGCAGACGACTTGTGTCGGTACTGCGATATGGCAACGGAAACCTCACTGCATCTCCTCTAAGAATGCGATGAGGTTGCGAGAAGAAGCCTAACTCTCCTGTGAAGGGAGTGGCCAGAAGTTATGCATATTCATTTTCTACCGTCTCGAAACTTCTAGGATCCATCAGAGCACTAGCGCTGAACGATGTGTTATGATGAGCTCTGAGGGCACAATAGACCTACGGTCACAGTGCACATCCTCTAAAAAATCGAATCTAATCTCCCTCGCTTTCTCACTCTCTGAGGAATCTTCGAAATGCAGAAGTTAAACTGTAGTGGGGAGAGGGCACCATCTTGTGTGAACCCTTGTTTAATTCTTTTTAACTTCGAGATTTAGGGTTTTTATGGGAGGAAGGATGTCTAAATGGCTCTAAGAAAGGTAGACCCTCAAGTGTTGTAGCGTCAACATGCATTGTCCCTCGAGGCCAATGACCTTGGCAGGCCTTTGTCTTCACGACGGCTCACGACTCAACTTCATCGCTGGTGAAATTATGAAGCGCACTATGATTTCGGAGATTGTGCAGCTTTCTGGTCACTCGAAATCCATCTTTATCCACCGATGAACGTAATTGCAAAGCTAATTGCGATTGCCAAAATCTCTAATGGCTAACAGGTGCGACTAAAAGTATGCAACATGAAAGTATAAAAGTAATGTTTCTTTGGAGAAATCAAACCGAGGAATTGTCACACTTTGGAGCATATTCACTTATGTTTTAGTTTCGATATGCATAGTGCTGAAAAATAAAGATTTTTGAAATCTTTTTTTTTGACATCGTTTTGTACCTTTTTCCATATAAACATGGAATTTCTTGTTTAAGAAAATGCGAAAAAAAAATTTAAAAAATCAACGCCAATTTTTATAAATTGCACTTGTTAAATGAAAAAAAAAAAACGCAAAAGCCGTCAGCAAAAGAAATATTATTTGCATACCCGAAAATGTTCTAAAAATTCAGAAAAAAAGTTCAACATATTGATGAAAATTGTTGAATATTTCTAAATTCTGTATAAAGTTTGTTTTTATATTTTTTCAGTTATCATAGTTTTTATAAAAAAAAAATAAAAATAAAATAAAAAGGTAAAAATTTTAGTTATAAAAAAACACGATTTCTCCAGTTTTGAGCGCTAGTGTAGATAAAAAGATAACATGATTTCATAATTAAGTATTACCGAACATAATCAACCAAGGAGGATTACATTTCACCAAAGAAATAAATTCCATCATTATTCTATTTGGTTTTTTTTCACACAGTACCATAAATTAAAACTTTAATTTTTTGGAAGCAAATTACATGTGGAAACAGACAGAAAGGACCTCCATCAATATATGTGTGTATGTATATGTATGTACATTAGACTGCATCACTCCCCATACAAAAAAAAAATCGGTACTATTTTTTCCATTGGAATTATAAAATCTATTATATTTTAAGACGTCCACCAAAATATTTCGAAAAAATATTAAGATTTAAGTGAGCTGGACCAATTTCAAAACACCTCCAAAAATGGAGTTTTTTATGAATAAAAATAGTTTCTTAAAATTTTTTTTTTTTTAAATCGCCTCAAATGACCAAACGGTTCAAGCTTAAAAAAATGGCATAAAAATATTTGAAAAAAAAATTGGGACACGAACGATTTTTTTTTTGACAGAAATAAAAACAGTGTGAAAATACCTTTCTACTGAGATCCCATAAGTCTAAATCAGAATAGTTTTGGCCCAGTTATTCAAGTTTTTCGTAAATCTATCTTTGAAAAAAGTAAAAAAAAAACAGCATCAAAAATCTCATTCTTACTATTCCGTTGAAAAGATTTTTAAATATTTGTATGCAGATTTTTTAAGCTTAATCTGTTTTGTCATCTGAGGGGACTTTTTTCAAAAAGTTCTTTACGAAACTATTTTTATTCATAAAAAACTCCAGTTTTGGAGGTATTTTCAAATCGGTCCAGCTCACTTAAATCTCAATATTTTTCCCAAATATTTTGGCGAACGTCTTAAAATATAATAAGTTTTGTAATCCCGGCGGAAAAACCGCAACTTTTTTTGGTGATGCAGTCTAATGTACATATATATACAGTAGTATATAATTAGAATTTGAAATTCCAACAAACCTTCGTTAATTAGTTGCCAAACTATAAAAAAAAAATGTTTGATGAGAAGAGCACCGCAGCACGAGGCCCATTTAATTGTATGCCAAAGCAAGGACTACAGACGCGCCCGCTGCCATCTTCCAACTAAACATTAACGTTGATTCCGTTGGTGATTTTTATATTTTTCTCGCTATTGGTTGCTGTTTATTGGTTGTGGCTGTTGCTGTGGTGAGCGCTGCATTTGAGTCACGTACTTAATTCGATTTGTGGCACGAATCGGTAATGCTTGAATAACTTATTAAGCCGCATCGTTTGAACACAATGAACTGGGCAAATGTAGTGGGTGTCGGTGTGCAGGCGGTTCGGGTGTATGCGAGTGTGAATGTAACGCAAATTTAAATATTAGGCAAATTATATTGCAAGTAGATGGAGTATTTGGCTGTGCGCCGAAAATGATGTGACATTAACAAGAGTTGTATGGGTATGTGTGTATGTAGCTGAAAAATAGCTAATTTTCTATTTACATTTTTAATAACTATTAGTTTTGAAGAATGGGCCTTATCAAAAAAAAACTAATCAATTGATTTTTCTTAAAATTTCTGACCATTTACTTGATTTCTTCAAATAAATTTAAGTGGCACAAAGGTTTGAGATTTTAAGAGAAACCAATCGCAAAGTTTTTATTTATAGGCTCAATATCTCAGTGTTTTTAAAGGAGGTCCTAAAATAGGCAATTCGCAAAACAGCCAAAAGCAATGGAGCATCCAGAATACCAGCATACTTTTTTCTCGCATCGGACATCCTTTATATGTATATTATATTCAGTCCAGAGGCATGCGCAGTAGAAAATAAAAAAGTGTACTGGAGAAATTGTGTAGTTTAATATACATGTGAATAAAAAAATCTTAAAAGTAGCTATATTCACTTATGACAAAATAAAAGCAAATGAAAATTATACTTTTAGAACAAGGCTATTTATTTATTTATTTATTTATTTATTTATTTATTTATTTATTTAGTCTA